CCCGCCGAAAAGTAACGCTTCTTCTCTGATTTCAGGGATGAATACACCTGGACCTATCCCTTTTTTTACTATTAATATTAATTATAATACAACATGCAATATATTAACAATTATTATGTTATTATTATGTAAGTTCATATAAAGAATGTATACCTGACATAAAATAACTTATCAGTCATAAAAAATGTTTTAAAACATTTAAATCACAAGTAAAATTTTCATACTAACTTCTCAGGATGTTATCTTCCGAGAACAGTAGAGTTGGTAGAATAAGATCACTTGAAAAAAGATGTAATGTCATAATGAAAACAATTATAACAAAAAGGTCGTAGTATTACCAGCTGCTCAAATATGGATCAATTGATACTTCACTATTTTCTCATTTGTTAGAATCATGCAATTCAAACATCAACATAGACTTGTAAAAAATCTGTTAATCCTCACAACTAATATATAAAGGGTCGTTGTTGATGCTACCATTGGTACATGCAATCCAACTCGTAGATTACAAGAAAACAGTAAAAAAATTTTAACTTATCAACACCGTCAAAAGATCGTATGAAAATTATTTCGCTAATATCTTGTAAACGGTGAGAGATTGGATGAAAATAAAAATAATATCGTGTAGAGCGAAAAAATTCCTACCGATATGGTATTTCACTTTATTTCGAGGTAGCACTAGTTATAAGTATAAAAGTTTAATAAAGAAGTTTTGTCTAACATGAAAGTGAGTAAGACAGAAAACTTGTGGACAAACAACTAGCAATATGTATAAGTACACATTTGCATGACGATATTTGTTTACTTTTACTAATTATCTTAAAATTTGAACTAGTCTCCACTTGATAATATCATAAAAGTTCTGTTTCTGATAAAATGTATAAAGTTATGAGTCTATTTATCTAAATGAGGATACTAATACTCAATTAAAATTATTATATTTAAAGAATTGTCAATATAATATTTGCAATGTAATTCTTATAATATAATATGATTATAATTCTTATAATTCAAACTTATCACCTACTATAATAGTTATATTGTGATTATTAGTAGGGGATAACTTTGTTCCATTACACTCTTACTGTTACATGATTTGGCACCTTATCCTTGAAATATTCATGCAACTACATCTGATGGCTTTAAGGAGGCTTGGGAGAAAAGTTCAAAATGTAGAATCGTGCCAAAAAAAATGTATGTTATATTTGAGCACATTAGGAGTGCACATTCATTTTTTCAGAAGAATTTTACCGGTACACTCATGTATTGTTTCGCAATTTTTTTTTTTTAATGGTACAATATGTGAACTTTTTCTCTCGTCATTTATATTTATTCTTTATTTGTTAAATAAACGTATTCTAAAGTCATTTGTGTTTTACCCTTACATTGAATTTTTTACTTTACTTCTAACCCTTCAAAAAATAAAAGCTTTATTTACGAATTTCTCTTTAGATATTAACCATTGGATCAAAGGAGCCAACTGCTGTACGAACTTGCTTCTTATCTTCATTTGCCTATCTTAATACGAAATTAAAAAAAAATTTTGTTTCGGCTCATATAACAGCTGATTAGGAGACCTACTGATTTGAGAAAATTTAGTTGTAATTGGTACTATACCAATCAAAACTTATGGAGGTGTAAAAAAAAAAATTTAGGTTAATTTAGATGAAATAGACGTAATCTCTTCAAAATCATATTTTATTATAGGAAAAACATGTTTAACCAACTTTTTTTACAATTAATTTTTAAAATTGATCTTTGTTATTTTCGGGAGAATCGCCCATATACATCCGGTCAGATCTTAGGCAATACATAAGGTTAATGGAAAGAAACACATCACCGTACACTGGCTATCAGAGCGTTAAACACTTTTAAGTTTGATAAGTGAATGTTTTTAGGGTTGTTTATTTACCCATCCATTGTGCACTGCTCTGCAATGCACAATGCAGTGCACTGCAAAAAAAGGTGCCCATTAATGTATTAGTGACAATTTCTGCTAAAGACCTTTTAGCAATGCTTATTCAGATAAGAGAAAAAGAGCAACAGTTGATCAACAAATGAACTCAAAAATTGCTAATTGTGTGTAATTCACTCGCCCTCGATTTACTTACCATGTTGAAGTTAAAACAATGGACTGCCCTAAGAAATAGACAGCTGGTTACTACAAGAAATTGTATTATACTTTTTTGTTCAAGTTTTTATCGTTAAAAAAGTCAAAATTCTTAGGCGTAAAGGTTTTTCAAAGTCAAAATAATAATATTTTACTCAGATATTTTACTTAACATGCAACTTTACAAAAAATAGCACTTTTTGAAACTTGTTATATATTTATCTTCAATTTTTCACAACAAACATTTATCCAAACTTTCTTATGCAGTATTAGAAAATCTAATTATTTAAAAAAATTTACAAACATGCAATGAATGTAGATACATACAGTAACTAAAAAAGTTTAATAAACCAGAGGTATAAATTATGTAACCACGTCACTTTGCAAAATAACTGCATTTATAGTTATCATCAAAAAAATACATATTATAAAATNCGTCAAACTCCTCGAAATGCACTAATTTCACTATGGAATTTTATTAGACGAATAGCACAAATAACTATTCGTCTGATGAAGGTACAGAGTTTTGAAATAACTGTGACAAAGTTTAAATTAAATATTTATGAATATAAAGTAACATACATAGTTTCATTTAATGTTCTAAAGTATTTCATGGATTTTCATCAAGTAAACACTAAGACAACTCAAAATTAAGGGGTTTTGAAAATTTTTGATAGCTAAAGTTTCGTTTGCTAAAAAAAGTTAAGTCCCATCAGTGAGAAAAAATACAAGTCCCGATGAGTAAATTTTTTGTTAGCTACATCATAACTGCATTTTCGGACATTTACAGCAGAATGAGATAGATGAAAATGGAAAGGTTTGGAAAATTTTCGAAAAAAAAAAAGTTGAGAATCAGTACAAGTTCTGACTACCAAAAGTTTAATTTTTATTCTGAAATGTATGCGTTTCAGGAAATTTAATGTTGATTTAAATTGGTTTCCCAAGCAGACGACGTTGAAATATTTTCCTAGATAGCAGTTAATGCAATATTTGTAATAGTAAGTTTATGTTGCACTTTTGCCACTGATGAAATCAAGTTAAAAACGAAGATTTTTAACGAAGGAAGTAAAAAATTTATACACTCGACTAGTGGTGAAATGTACTATTTTTTTTTTTCGAACATTGAAAAATGTGTATTCCGTTGGAGCGAAAAAATATAAGTTCCAACTATAGAAAATATTAATTTTAATTACGAAATTTTTTGCAGTTCAAAGGATTTTATGTTCATTGAAATAGTTAAAAAAAATTTTTTTTTGGCATTTAATTATTATAAGTATCGTTAGCGTGAAAAAATATATATATTCCAACAGCAAAAGATCAAGACTTTCATTGTTTCGAGAAACTCGATGTTAAATAATACGGTCCGTAGGAGAAATTTTTTTCCCACTTTGTAAATTGCAATTATCGTTACAGCAAAAAAAGACATCTCCCTACAGCGTGAAAAATTACAAGTTTGAACAACCAAAAGTATTTATTTTCATTGTGAATGCTTGCGCTTAGGGTAACTTAAAGTTAATTTCGATTATCTAAAAGTGTTATTTACCAACCTCAATAATAAGAAGTTCCGTCTGAGCAAATAAACACAATAAATATATACATAAAATGAAAGGGCACAACAAGTTTAAAACAATAAGCTCTATAGAGGCGTTTCGCGTCAACTCACACACCCAGTAGCGCAAGCTCTAAAACACCTACTTTTCAGTCAATCTATACTATTATGTAAAGTACTAAAAAAAATACTAAAAATACTGGTTTGGTGTATTTTTTTCTCAGCTTTCCGATAAAATTATCAGAATTGCAAATGAAAATATCATACACTCAAAAAATGAAAAAAAAAAAGATTCAAAGCGTCATTTCTCAAAAAGTCCATTTTTTTTTATGACTCCAATCGAAAGATCAGATCTTATTACATCGGAAATTTTCAAGAAGGTATTATTTTTTTTTTTTCAAATATAAAACCTTAAAATTTGTGTTTTATTGCTGCAGTGATATACACAATGAGCTGGGTCCGGCTTTATAAAAA